AGATTGTGCCATTGCACTGCAGCCTGGGCAATGAGTGAAACTCTTATCTTAAAGGTTTTTTTTTTCCTTGGGCTACTATTTTCTCTTTCTTTCTTTCTTTTCTTTCTTCCTTTCTTTCCTTTCTTTTCCTTTGTTTGTTTGTTTTTAGTAGAGACGGGGTTTCACCATGTTAGTCAGGCTGGTCTCAAACTCGACCTCAGGTGATCCGCCTGCCTCAGCCTCCCAAAGTGCTGGGATTACAGGTGCAGGCCACCATGCCTGGCCTTGGGCTACTGTTTTCAAAGTGAATTGTTTGTTGTATCGAGTCCTTAACAAGTATAGACACATGATATATGTGATCCTAATTAAGAAATACCAGATTGGATCAACTAATCATGTCAGCAATGTAAATAACTTTTTATTTTTCATATTCAAAATAAAAACTTTCTTTTATTCCTGGTCCCTTTATAACCAGCATTTTTTGCTTTGAAAAATGAGCTGGCTTTGTAGTTTTTTAAAGTCTTAAACATAAGAAAAATGTCTTTTGTTCTAATTTGCTTTCATGAATGACGATCATTGACATGGTAAATTCTAGAATTTTGATTTTGTTTTTTAATTTGAAGAAAACCTTTGCTATTTTTATTTTTTCCAAATGGTCTGACATTTTAAGAATGAATGCTAATAACTTAACTTCTAAATTTATCGTCATTGGCATGTTTAATAGCATATCAAAAAACATTTTAAGCTGGTGGATGCATAGACAAAGCAATGGGAAACTAGTGAAATACACATGGATGTTCCTGAGGCACTTAGGAAGCTCTCAGTTGTCTCTTACATAGTTCAAGGAATGTTTTCTGAATTTTTTTAATGCTTTTTTTTTTTTTTGAAAGACAAAAACATACATTTTAAATGTGATTATCTAATTTTTACAACACTGGGCTATTAGGAATAACTTTTTTAAAATTACTGTTCTGTATAAATAAAATATTTGAAATTCAAGTGCAGAAAATATCTGAAACAAAAAGCATTGTTGTTTGGCCATGATACAAGTGCACTGTGGCAGTGCCCCTTGCTCAGGACCCAGCCCTGCAGCCCCTCTGTGTGTGCTCCCTCGTAAGTTCATTTGCTGTTATTACACACACAGGCCTTCCTGTCTGGTCCTTAGAAAAGCCGGGCTTCCAAAGCACTGTTGAACACTGAGGATTCTGTTGTTAGTGTGGATGTTCAATGAGTTGTATTTTAAATATCAAAGATTATTAAATAAAGATAATGTTTGCTTTTCTATTTCCTTTTGAATTTGTGTTTATTGTTAATTCATAGCTATTCAAAGTATGATTAGAGCTGAGCTTTGTGGCTTGCATCTGTAATTCCAGCTACCCAGGAGGCAGAAGCAGGAGGATTGCTTGAGCCCAGGAGTTTGAGGCTGCAGTGAGCTATGATCTTGCCACTGTAATTCTAGCCTGGGCGACAAAGCAGGAAAAAAGTGTGGATGGAGGACCAGCAACATCTGTATCACCTGTGAGTTTTTCAGAAATGCAGAGTTTCAGGCCACACTCAGACCTACTGAATCAGAACTTGCACTTTTTGCAAGATCCCCAGGACACTGAAGTGTAGAGTGAAGCTTGAGAAGCACGGTTTTATGGATTGTTCTTAACCAGCTGTGGTGGTGAATATGAGTAATGCATGCCAGCACAGTCCATTGATATTCTATTCCAGCTTACTGCCTGCCAAAAGGTCCATTATTACTGGATCCCGAGTCTTTTCCAAGAGAAGCTAAGAATTCCAAATTTTTATTTGAAATATATTTTTTAAATGGTTGCTCAATTGGCAGGGTGCCAGTGGCTCATGTCTTTAATCCCAGCACTTTGAGAGGCCGAGGTGGAAGGATCACTTGAGCCCAGGAGTTCGAGACCAGCCTGGGCAACATAAAGAGACCCCATCTCTATTAAAAAAAAAAATAGAGACAGAATGCTGCCTTAAAAAAATCATAAATGTTTGCTCAACTGATTTTTAACCCTGAGGGCCAAACAAAGCACATTAGTAGCAATTTTTAAGAGTGCTGCTTTTCCTCATTGTATCTAACTCTGGACACCAGAATCCAAATGTAATGATTGGACTCCACCTAGACTGATTGAGGAATATATTGTCTTCACATTTAGGGTTGTCTATTCATTTTAGCTTTAATTAGGATTGGGCACAAATTTTGAAACATAATATGTTACAGGACAGGGATCCCGATCCAGACCCCAAGAGGGTTCTTGGATCTTGTGCAAGAATGAATTCAGGGCAAGTCCATAAATTGAAAGAATTGAAAGCCAGTTCATTAAGAAAGTAGAGGAATAAAAGAATGGCTACCCCATAGGCAGAGCAGCCCTGAGGGCTGCTGGTTGCCCAGCCCGCCCCCGCCCCCTTTTTTTTTTTTGAGACAGAATCTCGCTGTGTTGCCAGGCTGGAGTGCATTGGCATGATCTCAGCTCACTGCAACCTCTGCCTCCTGGGTTCAAGCAATTCTCCTGCCTCAGCCTCCTGAGTAGCTGGGACTACAGGTGTGTGCCACCATGCCCAGCTAATTTTTGTATTTTTAGTAGAGACAGGGTTTCACCATGTTGGCCAGGAAGGTCTCAATCTCTTTACCTCGTGATCCACCTGCCTTGGCCTCCCAAAGTGCTGGGATGAGCCACCTCGCCTGGCTGGTTATTTCTTGAGGATATGCTAAACAAGGGGTGGATTATTCATGCCTCACCTTTTTAGACCGTTTAGGGTAACTTCCCAGCATTGCTATGGCATTTGTCAACTATCATGGTGCTTACGGGAGTGCAGCAGTGAGGAGGACCAGAGGTCATTTCATCGCCATCTTGGCTTTTTCAGCTGGCTTCTTCACTGCAACCTGTTTTACTAGCAAGTTTTTTATGACCTGTATCTTGTGCAGACCTTCTATTTCATCCTGTGACTTAGAATGCCTTAAACATCTGGGAATGCAGCCCAGTAGGTCTCAGGCTCATTTTACCCAGCCCTTATTCAAGATGGAGTTGCTCTGGTTCAAACGCCTCTGATATTTCCCTACTCCCTTTTATAACACAACACTTAATCCTAAGGGTTGCGGAGGGATGAAGATCCATCTTCTGTAACTTCTTCAGGCTGAGTAAGGGTGATGATATTCCTGCCTATGAGAGTCTCTTGTATTAGGGTAGAAAGGAGCTCAGTCAGTATGGCTCTCTATCCTTCCTCCCTTCCCCAGCCCCTGACAACTACCATTCTACTTTGTCTCTATAATTCTAAGTATCTCATATAAGTGGAATCATTCAGTATTTGTAGGGGTTTTTTTGTGACTAGTGTATTTCACTTTGCCTGTCAAGGTTCATCCATGTTGTAGCATATGTCCGAATTTTCTTCTTTTTAAAAGCTGAATAATATTCCGTTGTATGATATATGCACATTTTGCTTATTCATTTATCCATCAAAGAAAACCAATAGCTTTTTTACATACCAGTAACCTGGTTAAAAAAAAATAAGATGGAAAAATACCAAGCCCAAAAATGTCAAATTGTTGAACACCAGAGAGGTACTATAATTCAAGCTGAGCAGAAAGGAATGGCCCTTGTCTCAGCCCTGAGCCACATGTCACTACATGGGCCCCAAGCAGCTCTTCTTGTGCTCAGAGTCCTGCTAAGTCTTGTTCTTCACTCCTCTAAAGTGGCTCAAACTAGCGCAGGAGGCCAGGAGGGAGCAGATTCTATGCCACCTCCATTGCTTCTGCGCCTTCTCCAGATCCTTTTTTTCCAAAAGCTATGTTTGAATTCTGCACAGGGGCATCTCTGTCTCCAACACTGAAACCCCTTTTACCAGACCCAGAGAAGACTGCCTTTTTTTTTTTTAGACGGGGCCTTGTTCTGTCGCCTAAGCTGGAATGCAGTGGCACCATCTCGACTCACGGCAAACTCTGCCTCCTGGGCTCAAGCAATTCTCCTGCCTCAGCCACCTGAATAGCTGGGATTACAGGTGCGGGCCACCACCTCCAGCTAATTTTGTATTTTTAGAGATGGGGTTTTGCCATGTTACCCAGGCTGGTTTAGAACTTCTGAGCTCAGGTGATCCACCCGCCCTGGCCTCCCAAAGTGCTGGGATTACAGGCATGAGCCACCTAACCTGGCCAGATTTAACTGCTTTGAACCACCATCTCACACATCTTCCAGGGGCTTCTAGTTAAATACAGAGTATTAATAGTGTATAATTCCATTTATGTAAGATCCTTGGAATAGCCAAACTCACAGAGACAAAAAGTAGAATGGTGGTTGCCGGGGGATGGTAGAGGGGAAAATTGGGAGTCATTTAACGAGTATGGAGTTTCAGTTTAGGAAGATGAAAAAAGTTCTGGAGATGGATAGTTGTGATGGCTGCACAACAATATGAATGTACTTAATGTCGGTGAACCGTATAACCATTTAACAATTGAAAATGGTTATAAAGGTCAATTTTGTGTTATGCATATCTTATCACATAAAAAATACAGAGGACTGATCACTATATTTGCTCCCTTCCAAAATCCCACCTAGGTTAAAGAAAAATATATAAACCCACAAGAACACAGGGACCAGGAGAGGAGATGCATTCATTGGATTAGGTTTGGTTGTAAAACAAAAACAAAAACAACAAAAACAAAAAAAACTCCTCGGCGCGATGGCTCACACCTTGTAATCCCAGCACTTTGGGAGGCTGAGGCAGGCAGATCACAAGGTCAGGAGTTCGAGACCAGCCTGACCAACATAGTAAAACCTCATCTCTACTAAGAATATAAAAACCAGCCAGGTGTGGTGGCATATGCCTGTAATCCCAGCTACTGAAGTGGCTGAGACAGGAGAATCACTTGAACCAGGGAGGCAGAGGTTGCAGTGAGCTGAGATCGTGTCACTGCACTCCAGACTAGATGACAGAGCAAGACTCCGTCTCAAATGGAAACAAAAACTAATATAACAGCGACTTTACATGCTATGGGTTTTTTTTCTCCTCTCATCTTCAAGAAATGCGGAGACTGCCAGTCCAGGGATGATACAGCATCACAGTGTCAGGAATCTGCTCTTTCTGTATAATTGTTACAGGAAAGGGGTCCCGATCCAGACCCCAAGAGAGGGTTCTTGAATTCAGGCCAAGTCCACAGTGCAAAGTAAAAGCAAGTTTATTAAGAAAGTAAAGGAATAAAAATTCCCTACTCCATAGAGCCGCCCCAGGGCTGCTGGTTGCCCATTTTTATGGTTATTTCTTGATGATATGCTAAACAAGGGGTGGATTATTTATGCCTCCCCTTTTTAGACCATATAGGGTAACTTCCTGATATTGCCGTGGCATTCGCAAACTGTCATGGTGCTGGTGGGAGCATAGCACTGAGGAGGACCAGAAGTCACTCCTGTGTGGCCTTTTTGGTTTGGTGGGTTTTGGCCAGCTCCTTTACTGCAACCTGTTTTATCGGCAAGGACTTTATGACCTGTATTTTATGTTGACCTTGATTCTCATCCTGTGACTTAGAATGCCTTAACCATCTGGGAATACAGCCCAGTAGGTTTCAACCTCATTTTACCCAGCTCCTATTCAAGATAGAGTTGCGGCCCGGCGCAGTTGTGCCTGTAATCCCAGAACTTTGGGAGGTTGAGGTGGGTGGATCACGAGGTCAAGAGTTCAAGACCAGCCTGGTCAACATGGCAAAACCCCGTCTCTACTAAAAATACAAAAATTAGCCGGGCGTGGTTGGCGTGCGCCTGTTATGCCAGCTACTTGGGAGGCTGATGCAGGAGAATCACTTGAACCCAGGAGGCAGTGGAGGTTGCAGTAAGCAGAGATCGCGCCATGCACTCCAGCCTGGACGACAGAGCAAGACTGCGTCTTGGGGAGGAAAAAGAAGAAAAGATGGAGTTGCTCTGGTTTACATTCCTCTGACATAATGGCTTTATGTACATGGCTTCCACGGTTAAGGTCAGCTCGTGGATCTGATATGGCTGTGTTGGTGATCATGCCCAGCAATCAGAAAGAGAAGGGAGGCCGGGTTTGGTGGCTCATATCTGTCATCCCAGCACTTCGGGAGGCCAAGGCAGGAGGATCACATGAGCCCATGAGTTTGAGACCAGCTTGAGCAACACAGGGAGACCTCATCTCTACAAGATACAAAAAAAATCAGTCGGACATGGTGGCGTGTACCTGTGGTCCCAGATATTCAGGAGGTTGAGGTGAGAGGATACCTGGAACCTGGAGGTTTGAGGCTGCAGTGAGCTATAATCGCGCCACTGCACTCCAGCCTGAGCAACAGAGTGAGACCCCATCTCAAACAATTAAAAAAAAAAAAGGAGGGCAGAAAAAGTCTATGTACCTTTTCTTTCAGATTACCTTCTCAAAGTTGTGCATACCCCTTCCATTTACATTACATTGGCCAGAGCTTAACATGACAACTACTAGCTACAAGGTGGTTTTTATTCTGGGTTGCCATGCATCTTAGCTTGAGTACCCTACAGGCAGATCCTGAGACGAGGATTCCTGTGAAAATGATTATTTACTTATTTAATTAATTTATTTTGAGATGGAGTCTCACTCTGTCACCCAGGCTGGAGATCAGTGGCATGATCTCGGCTCACTGCAACCTCTGCCTCCCAGGTTCAAGCAATTCTCCTGCCTCAGTCTCCCAAATAGCTGGGACTACAGGCATGTGCCACCATGCCCAGCTATTTTTTTTTTTTTGTATTTTTAGTAGAGACAGGGTTTCACTATGTTGGCCAGGCTGATCTCAAACTCCTGACCTCAGGTGATCTGCCCGCCTCAGCCTCCCAAAGTGCTGGGATTACAGGCGTGAAACACTGCGCCTGGCCGAAAATGATTTTTTAAAAGTGTTCCAGGAAGAAACGGAAAGGGCATAGGGGAGTAAGAAAGTGGAAAATGGAAAGGAAGGAAGCCAAGCAAGGGGATCCTATCAAGCAAAGCCTCAGTCCTGCAGACAGTTCGGAGGCAGGATATTCACATCTTAGAGTTGTCCAAAACAGGACAGGCAAGCTGCAGAATTTTCAACTCCGGCTGAATAAGGTTGCGTTTCAGCTCTCCGGGCACCTGGAAAGTATGGGCTCCAGTAGCCTGGAGGCAGTCTGCTGACAGACACAGGTGCTGGCTGGTGTGCACAAAAGTGGTAAAGGGATGAGCGGGTGCAATAGGGACACTGGCATCTTGGCTGTCATGCATCCAGGTAAAAAGTGGGGGCTCAATTACTATATATGAAAGGGAGAACAGACTTTAGGGAATAATTAGCAGTCATTTCCAGGTGAGACAACAACAGAAGAGAAATGCTAAATTTTCCCTTTTTTGGGGGGGTGCGGGGGGGGGGACAGAGTTTCGCTCTTGTTGCCTAGGCTGGAGTGCAATGGCGCAATCTCCGGCTCACTGCGACCTCCACCTCCTGGGTTCAAGCGATTCTCCTGCCTCAGCCTCCTGAGCAGCTGGGATTACAGGCATGCACCACCATACCCAGCTAA